TATATATATATATAACTACCACTCACCGACTGACTATAACGATATCTCAGGAACTATAAAACATACAAACTTGAAGTTTCTAAGGTAGGTTCCTTTTATGGCATAGAGATCAGTTAAGAAACGGTTTTGAGAAAATCTATCCCTAAGGGAGTGAAATGGGAGTTGGAAGTTTGTATGAAAGTCCTACGTTTTTGAAGTTAGAGACACGTAAATCGGCATTAAGGTTATAAGTTTTCAATAATAAAATCCTGAATAAGCTGTTTTACGAAATCCTAACCCTAAGGGGGTGAAATTGGGGTAAAATGATTACATGCAAGTCCTACGTTTTTAAAGTATAGATATGAAGATCGACATTTACTTTATTAGTTTTAAATAATAAATACTTGCATAGTTAAGCTTTACCTATATAGCCTCTTTATACTTAGGTAAGACCTTTGCAGCGAGAAAATTTCAAAATCTCATAGGAAATCAGATATTGTACGTGGACGAAGTCGCAGGCGGCGGCTAGTTACATAATATATGTGTTATATAATTGTGTGATAAGTATATTTTTTTCTTACCTGTCCACTTGTTCCAGTGGTTATTAAAAAGCTTGTGATATCTCCACTTAATTTTGGTTTTTCAGGAAGAAATATTTGTGATTCCTTTTTGTGGAAAGATATTAGATGCTTCCTTAAGCCTGAAGTGTTTCTGTTTTTAATTGTTAATTTACACAAAGCAATTTGGGATGCATGAATTATGTCGAAAAACTCATCAAATTTACTTTTAGATCTATAACTCCAACTCTCACTACTCCGACTAGAACTATTCGACTCTTCGTCACTCTTGTCAAATTGTAAACTTGTCACTCCAAGAACAACAAGGATTAGAGTAAAAACAATTAATACATTAGACTCGAAGCAAAGCTTAATTGGGAATGACTGGAATTAAAATAAATACTACTATTTGTAAGTACGCGCCGAAAGACCGACAAAGGAAAGTTCGGCATCCTTTGATAAAATCATGATTCTTCAGAATAATAGGGATAGGTATAGTGTGCCTACGTAAAAATGAAATATAAATATGTAAATAAAATTGTGTATATTATGTTCTTCTTGTGATTGAATTAATCTACGTTAATTAAATTAAATTTGCCTTCACTCGTTTGAAATTCAAAATTCAAATATGTTTTATTCAAGTAGGCATTAAAAATACACTTTTGAATAGTCATATAATCACTGTTTTCCCCAATTTTTTCTTTTCCGTGTCCAGGGGTTCTGATTCTACTGAGAAGAATCATGGAAGAAAGTAAGAAACTCAGTAGTTGCTCATTTCAAAATATTTTTACAATAGTTCTATAATTATGTAAAGCGATAAGTCAAACATAAAATGTCAAATGTATATGTAGATACCAAATCGGTTTAGAAATTTCTAGTTAGTCCTGTGTAGTACGAGAGGTCAGTTCCAAGCATTTTTGTATGACTTAAATTGAAAAGGTGAAAGATCTAACATTTCTTTTGGATTCTTATTATAAAAGCGTATATCGCTACCCAAGAACGCATTATATACTTTGTGTAACCGGAAAGCAGGTATTGTGATTTTATTTTTATTTCTACTATTAAAATTGTGCAAATCACTATTATTTACATCAATTTGATGCAATTAATTTCTTTAAACGGTTCTCTAATAGATACTCGGGCTCCTAAAAGTACATAGATCTTATTTTACGCTTTTTATTTAATATGCATACTTTTTATATTATTCGATTAGCATTGTACAAAATGTTTACACGTTTCAAGTATGTTAAAAGTGTCTACAATATTTATCAAATGGGTGACGACATATTCGAACACTTTGTGTTCAAAAACACACACACACACTTTCAAAAATCGAGATTTGCAGTGAACTTATTGAACATGTTTATCTATTAGGTAATAATAATAATAGTAAGTAATTATTATAAACCCATATAGTTAATATTATAATAATTACTTACTAGAATAAATTATTATGGTATCTACCTATCCTTACCATTATCTAATTACAATATTCCTTGCGAGATCAGCATAATGTATTCGTGTCCATTCTGAGCACCCGGAAACTTATTTTATTCTTTGGAACATGTACTCTGTGGCGGCATTCAAACAGTGTCAAATGTAGTGCGTGCGGCGCGGCGGCGACGATTGAATGCGATATTCTTGTACCTTGACCTTGTACTTCCGAATAGCTGCAAAATTTCTTTGACAGGTCAGGATTCGACCTTTGATGATGCCGACAACAAGACGCCGCGCACTAACAAAGTGCCGATAGTCAAAACTAGGGGATGCACTGTTTTTTTCTTTTAATGGATATTTTCATCCGCTATGAATGTTTATGGTATTGTTCGTAATGCGCAGAAGTCCAATTTTCCAAATTTTTTTATATATTTTAGCATCTCATAGAGTCCCTAAGCGTATACCCGAACTCCTATACTCCCCGAAACGACACTCATTCCTAACTGCAAGACGCAAGTCTCGCAGGCTTAGTCTTGTTCTTACTCAAATCTTGCACGGTCAGTCTTGGTTTTGGTCTTGCTAAAATTAGGCGGTCTTGTTGTTGGTCTTGCAAAAATGCAAGAACAAGACCAAGACTGCAAGACCAAGACCGATTTTGGGCAACACTACCACTAGTCCCAGCACCACCACTCCCAACACCGGGATTAATGCATGCAATTGAGGGATGGCGGGAGGTGCTCTCCAATCCAGGTAGGACACATCATTGTATTTAATTGAGCGGATGGTTGCGAATTAAATATTGATATATTTAATATAATGAATTTCCGCAAAGTAACGTCTGATTCTATCAATAATGTAGATATAGCATTTTTAGTTTGCCATATTTTAGCAATTGTCATTTTATTATAAAAATAATGAAGTATCATCGGCTTAGTATTATATCGTGGTTATCCCTGCCACGCAACAAGAAACAAAAAGGGGTCGAGAGTTGAGCCCTATTTAACGCAAATGGGAGGAGATTGAAAACGAATACGGTACTTGGATAAGCTAGCGCTAACCATCCGAGCCGTGGTAGCTCAAATGGTTAGCGCTCGCTGTAAATTTCACAATACGCGAGCAAACCGGGTTCGATCCCCGCCGGCACCAATGAAATTGTTAATTGCATTTTTAAGTGCTGATTTACCACGTGCTCGGCGGTGAAGGAAAACATCGTGAGGAAACCTTCATGTCTGAGAAATAAGAAAAAAAATATTTCGAAGAGATGGGAAGTTCGCCAACACGCATTGTGGCAGCGCGGCGGACTATTCCTTGCCCTAAAACCCTCTCAGAAAGGAGAGGAGGTCTGTGCCCAACAGTGGGACGTATGTAGGCTGTAACTTCAAGTGATATTATTCAGATTGATCATCCCGTGGGTGTCGTAAGAGGCGTCATAGGAAAATGATACAGCAGATGGGCAGCAGCATCTTTTTTTTATTTTTTTATTTTTTTTTTATGTACACACATTAAGGTACAGAAGCAGTCTTATAGTAATTACGTACAAAGGTTCTACTTATTCCAAATTCGCTGAAATATCTTCCAGTAGACTGATAACAAAGCAGAATAATATGCGTTGGCCAATGCTGACCACTTTGACAAATACCGACTCTATGAGGCAAACAATAGGGAGGCTTTTTGTACACGGTAGAGCCACGCTGCAGCCACAATATAGCTATAATTGTAGCACGAATGAGTCGGCTCAACCGAGGAAGGACCACGCTCTCACACAATACCACCGTAAATTAGCAGCTTAATACTGCTGTGTTTCGTATGGTGAGTGTCGAGATCCGGAGACCCTTTTCAACTGGAAACTAGTATAGGAGTCGTATAAAGGAATAATAATACGCCTGATCACTTGATGTTTGCTTTACTGTAGTATTGTGGCACGAACAAGCACGAGAAAGCACCTCAATCATTATTGCAATCGTTTAAATAATATCACATAGTGGTGGCAGCACGTCCCTACTACCTATCAAAACTGAACCCAGCAACAGTTCAAATGTGTAAGAATTATACAATTCAAATACTTTAATAATACGAAAATAAGTAAACAACTGTTATAAATATTATTGATAAGATTACAAATGTTTAGGAAATGAAATTACTTATATAATATTCTTTGCAAATCTCTCAAATTCTAAATTAAAAATAAAACTGACAAAATTATCTATGAAAATACAATGACTTATAATCAATTTTATATTTGTAAATGTAATGTTAATTAAGAAAAATATTATAAAAGAAAAATATAATTACATAATTATTATTTAAATGATTTTAGTAGCAATTATTAACAATCACTGATAACATTAGGCATTCAATCTTAGTCGTTAATGTTATTACATACATACATTGCACCACGTCCTTCATACCAGAGGAGGTAGGCGGCGTCTAAACAGCAGCGAGCTACTCGAACCACGTTTAGCCTCCGACAATAGTGAAAGTATTGAATGGTGGCTATCCCACAGGCTACACAATCACAAACCAAATAATCCCTTAGTCGCCTATTACGATAAGCTGGGCAAAAAATAATGTCCTACAGACCGAATTTCGGTCACGGCGGTCGGTCTCAACGGAGACTAGCCGCCTGCGAACTGCGCAGGAAACATAGTGCCTGATTGTGTGTGCGCGCGAACCCTGTTGCACTCCCTATTCCCCGACTCTCATAGTCCGATGGGACAGTAATCCATATCGGATTAAGACCGGAGAAAGAGCAAACGTAGGACCAACGGTTTTACCTGCTTTCCGAAGCACGGTGGTGGAACACAGCGAACTTCCCGACCTCGAGCTGTTACTGAGAACTTACTAATCGATAGAACTTATAATGATTTTTGCCCGACTATACCGATATATACCATCACGGAAAATTTAAAATATTTTTAAATACATTCGAAGAAATTTCAGTAAAACTAAAATAGAACATAAATGTAATCGAGCAAAATATTATTTACTTAGATAACGTTTAACTCAGTCTATGTTTAAATGTATAAGTCAAAAACGCTGTCTGCCCGTGTTGCGCACAGTAGTTGCACCGTGAATCTCGGGGTAGTCGTGATCAGGCAGCGTGTCCGGCATAACAGCCACTTGTTGCTGATTTTGATTATACCAATAATATTTATTTTGTTGTTTGATATATATGCAACGATGTATCGCCACGCAAATACACCCAGCACCAAAGTCCCGCCAGCTTTTAAGCTGGCTGCATTACTGTCCGCTGGATGTACATTTGTGAGTATTGTACTGATTATTTTGTAATTTATTTAATTAATAATGATTTTATTTAATGAATTAATCAAAGCTCTTGTGTTTCTGTTTTTATTATTCGTCGCTGGCGATTAAATTATTTCTAATTTTATTAATTTAATTTTTTCTACATTTCAAAATGAAATTAAAATTATATTTATTGAATATTAAAAAAAACTATAATAACATAATTAAAACTAAAAACTTAAATTATCGTGGTATCGTGACAAGAACGCTGGCTGCGTTTCCTCGCTAAATGGCTATAGAATAATAGAATAGAATAGATTTATTTTTTCAATATAGATTACAAGTAATTCTTATGGAAAGTCAATATTTTACGTTACCACTGGTTCGAAAAAAACCTCTTTCCTGGGAAGAACCAGCAAGAAACCCAGCGGGACTTTTTTTTAAATAAATTTTAGAATGTCAAGGGTCACAAAATATTTACAAAATTAATTTTAGAAACAGCTTGAAAGCGACCTCCTCATTCCCAGGGGTTATTATCAACCATGTATTCATTTGTATCATAATAACCCTTTTATACAGTTTTTGTTTAATTAAATATTTAAACTTGGTAATAGAGAGACCTTGTATAATTTCTGGGACTTTGATATATGATATACTTAGTCTTTAAGCGAGAATAGAACCAGCCCTCTTGTCACCAGCAGCGACGACCAGTAGCGGATACGGTTCCTTTAAGAACCGCTTTACCTCTCTCCCAAGCGACCAAAAGTCATACCGTCGGGTATCTTGTCATCGTCTCTAAATATTCCACAAGGTTCTAAAACCACTTACCGACACTCATCTTGCATGAAAGAATATATTATTGTATATATTTCAATATAATGTAAACTTTATACGTATTTTTATACGTAGTTCAGCCATGCTGCTGTTATATTAGTTGCATAGTTGTAGCACGGATGGGTCGGCTCGACCGGGGAAGGACCACGCTCTCACAGAATACCAGCGTAAAATAGTAGTAATGCGTTTTCATTGTAATAATTTTTTTTCGTATGGTGAGTGTAGAGATACGGAGACCCTTTTGACTGGAAACGAGGCATTACATCTTAGTCCTCACGGGTGATAACGCATCTGTATTTTGATTCGTAATCGAGGATAGATGTAGATGTCTATGGGCCACAGCAACCACTTACCATCAGGTGGACTGTGTGCTCGTTTGTCACCCTATCCTATTAAAAAAAAACTTAAATAAATTCGATTACATATTTTTAAAAATTTTATTCTATCTCTTTAGTTGTGCTATATTTTTAAAGTTGTTTTTTTTTTGTATAATTATTGTTAACCATTCAATGATATTTTGTATTCATATTCTTTTTTGATGGGTGTTAATATAAGAATGGCTGAATTAGTATTAAAGTTTGGAATAAAAGCACTAAAAGCAATATTTTTAAAGCGATTGTTCAGATGAATTATTTTATTATATCCCTATATATTGTACATACAAAGGATTTGTCGCATTTTATTTTAATAAGCTTTTCCTTACATGCATTGCCGAAGCTCCTGTTAAGTAGCAAAAGCTTGTGGGCGCTTCGAAATGACATTCATCGATGACAGGACAATATCCGACGACACAATTTTACCTCTCTGTAACGTGGTATACTGGCAATAGCAGTCTTGTCAAACTAGAATAAATTAATAGTGAATTAACATTTTTAAAACAAGATTTTATTAGAATGCTCTAAAATGAAGAAAATTAACTTTATATTAAATAAAACCTATCGATTTATTACATTACACAATTTATATGATATTAACAGCTTGTAGCGAGATTTACCTTTATTTATATTTTTTATATAGGAAATAGTGACAAACGAGCACACAGTCCACCTGATGGCAAGTGGTTGCTGCGGTCTATAGACATCCACATCTATCCTCGATTACAAATCAAAATGCAGATGCGTTGTCACCCGTGAGGACTAAGATGGAATGCCTCGTTTCCAGTAAAAAGAGTCTCTGGTTCTCTACACTCACCATACGAAACACAGCAGCATTAAGTTGCTATTTCACGGTGGTATTCTGTGAGAGCGTGGTCCTTCCCCGGCCGAGCCGACCCATTCGTGCTACAACTATACTACTAATATAACTGCAGCATGGCTCTACCACGTATAATATGATAAGGGTGACAAACGAGCACACAGTTCACCTGATGGTAAGTGATCGCCGCGCATACATTTACGTGTTTCCTCGATTAAGAATCATAATTCATATTCTTTATCACCCCTGAGGGCTAATTTAGAATGCCTGGTTTATACTCGTGTATGTATATAAAAGAAGATGTCCTGAGGGACTAACTCATCTGTTAACGCATTGCTCAAACCGCAAGACGTAGAAATCTAAAATTTCGACAGTAACTGCATTTTATATTATAGGAATCCTTAATGGATTAGATACGGGTTGCTTCCTAGACCTGCATAGCTGCTCGCACATAATATAAAAATACATAGTAATGGACTATGTTATACGAATTAAATAAAGAATTAAGAACATTTTTATTCGCTTTAAGCACTTATGATTAATGTTTACTTAATGTTTTAATTACTGATAAGACTTACCGGTAATGAGTTAGATAAGGACAGTTTAATGCTAGAGTGAAACGGTGTATATAACAGACAATGTTAAGTATAAATATTAGAAAAGGATGGCAAGAGCCTACTATAGGATCCCGAGGGTTGTGTAAAATTGAGTTTGTCAATTGTACAGGTATTTAAAAGGGTGCTTATGGGGATCTAAACAAGTCCTTAATAGTGAATGAAAACATCATGTCAAGTAGATGATGTATTCATTGTGAAGTTAACCAACACGCTTACAATTAGAAGTAGCGAGATTAGAATGTAGATGTGTTATCTCCAGGGACTGAAAAAGAATACCTCGTAGTTAATAAAAAGGGTGTCCGGTTCTCTAAACTCACTATACCACACCACAGCAGCGTTGAGCTGTTATTTTTTTTTTTTTTTTGTATTCTGTGAGTGTGGTTCTTCCCCGGCCATAACAAAGCTGTGGCGTGGATCTGCCATGTATAATGAGGTAATCGTTATTATGCTATTTCTATATGTTTTATAAACGACCGGACCCATTGTGCCGCAGTATTACAGCGTCGCTCTACCACGTTAAAAATAACTCTATAGCTTTTGTAAATATTTTATTTCTGAGAGGGTATCTTCTTCTACGTAATGTGAAATATATGAAACTAGTTCCATTGAGCTCTTGAATAAATCGCTCTCAACAGTCGTGCAACAGTTGACATATCTATGAAGTCTGGAAAATTGTTTATGATTTTAGGCGAACTGCAATATAATCCGTATTTTATTGGAAAAAGTATGAAAGCATGTTGGAAGTGAAATGCATTTCATTTGAAGTACTAGCGGAAGTATGGAGATTGCTATGCTCAGAATTTCCCTGATTCATAGTAGAATCCGAAATAAAGATACTCGCGGTACAACCTGAGTAACCGAAATAGTCCAAAAATCAGTGAGGCTGACACTCTTTTTACTGGAAGCGAGACATTCCATATTAGTCCTCAAGGGTGACAACGCATCTGCATTTGATCCTTAATCCAGGATAGATGTAGGATATAGTAAGGATTTTGAAACATTCAAGTCCTAAGAGAATGAAATAAAAAAGGTGTTTGAAATATCCCTTTACGGGAGTAGGATGTTGCCAGAAGTGTTCAAATTTGTATGGAGATAAAATTATTTTTTAATTAAAACGGTGCACATACAATTTGGAAAAAAACAAAATTAAAAAATTAATTAAAAATAAATAAATAAATTATCATTATAACAAAACGAACACACGGAATCACACGGAGCGTTGGCCTCTCTCCGGGCAGAACACCTTGCCCGGCGGAAGATCTCCCCTTTTCCTTCACGGCCACATTATCTACGGGTGTTTCCCATGGTTCAAGTTTTTTGGTCCCTTACTTGTTAGGAAATAACCATGATATTGTTTTATTTGCTGATGATACTTCGTTGAGATTCCGACTTAAACGGCAATTATTAAAATATGACGAAGTGAATACTGCTATATCAAAAGTAGTACACTGGTTTAACCACAACAATTTGCTTTTAAGCGTTAATAACTAAATGTATATTAAATTTACAACACCAAACGTTAAACCGGTGAATACCAGTGTGAGTGGGCAGGAGTTGAGATTTGTTGAATCCATTGTTTTGTCCGAAATTATAGTACAGTTGACGCGATGCTTCAAAGGGGCCCCTATATATGTAAACTAGCTAGCAAACTTAGTTCTGCAGTATATACTGTAAAAAAGATTAGAAGCGTTACATTTATTGAAATAGCTAGGGAAGTTTATTTTAGTTAGTTCCATACCATAATGTCATAAGGAATGTTACTATGGGATAATGCGACCAACATTGAAACTATCTTAGTTTATTTTAGTTAGTTCCATACCGTAATGTCATAAGGAATGTTGCTATGGGATAATGCGACTAACATTGAAACTATCTTAGTTTATTTTAGTTAGTTCCATACCGTAATGTCATAAGGAATGTTGCTATGGGATAATGCGACTAACATTGAAACTATCTTAGTTTATTTTAGTTAGTTCCATACCGTAATGTCATAAGGAATGTTGCTATGGGATAATGCGACTAACATTGAAACTATCTTAGTTTATTTTAGTTAGTTCCATACCGTAATGTCATAAGGAATGTTGCTATGGGATAATGCGACTAACATTGAAACTATCTTAGTTTATTTTAGTTAGTTCCATACCGTAATGTCATAAGGAATGTTGCTATGGGATAATGCGACTAACATTGAAACTATCTTAGTTTATTTTAGTTAGTTCCATACCGTAATGTCATAAGGAATGTTGCTATGGGATAATGCGACTAACATTGAAACTATCTTAGTTTATTTTAGTTAGTTCCATACCGAAATGTCATAAGGAATGTTGCTATGGGATAATGCGACTAACATTGAAACTATCTTAGTTTATTTTAGTTAGTTCCATACCGTAATGTCATAAGGAATGTTGCTATGGGATAATGCGACTAACATTGAAACTATCTTAGTTTATTTTAGTTAGTTCCATACCGTAATGTCATAAGGAATGTTGCTATGGGATAATGCGACTAACATTGAAACTATCTTAGTTTATTTTAGTTAGTTCCATACCGTAATGTCATAAGGAATGTTGCTATGGGATAATGCGACTAACATTGAAACTATCTTAGTTTATTTTAGTTAGTTCCATACCAAAATGTCATAAGGAATGTTGCTATGGGATAATGCGACTAACATTGAAACTATCTTAGTTTATTTTAGTTAGTTCCATACCGTAATGTCATAAGGAATGTTGCTATGGGATAATGCGACTAACATTGAAACTATCTTAGTTTATTTTAGTTAGTTCCATACCGTAATGTCATAAGGAATGTTGCTATGGGATAATGCGACTAACATTGAAACTATCTTAGTTTATTTTAGTTAGTTCCATACCAAAATGTCATAAGGAATGTTGCTATGGGATAATGCGACTAACATTGAAACTATCTTAGTTTATTTTAGTTAGTTCCATACCGTAATGTCATAAGGAATGTTGCTATGGGATAATGCGACTAACATTGAAACTATCTTAGTTTATTTTAGTTAGTTCCATACCGAAATGTCATAAGGAATGTTGCTATGGGATAATGCGACTAACATTGAAACTATCTTAGTTTATTTTAGTTAGTTCCATACCATAATGTCATAAGGAATGTTGCTATGGGATAATGCGACTAACATTGAAACTATCTTAGTTTATTTTAGTTAGTTCCATACCATAATGTCATAAGGAATGTTGCTATGGGATAATGCGACCAACATTGAAACTATCTTAGTTTATTTTAGTTAGTTCCATACCATAATGTCATAAGGAATGTTGCTATGGGATAATGCGACTAACATTGAAACTATCTTAGTTTATTTTAGTTAGTTCCATACCATAATGTCATAAGGAATGTTGCTATGGGATAATGCGACTAACATTGAAACTATCTTAGTTTATTTTAGTTAGTTCCATACCGAAATGTCATAAGGAATGTTGCTATGGGATAATGCGACTAACATTGAAACTATCTTAGTTTATTTTAGTTAGTTCCATACCGTAATGTCATAAGGAATGTTGCTATGGGATAATGCGACTAACATTGAAACTATCTTAGTTTATTTTAGTTAGTTCCATACCATAATGTCATAAGGAATGTTGCTATGGGATAATGCGACCAACATTGAAACTATCTTAGTTTATTTTAGTTAGTTCCATACCATAATGTCATAAGGAATGTTGCTATGGGATAATGCGACTAACATTGAAACTATCTTAGTTTATTTTAGTTAGTTCCATACCATAATGTCATAAGGAATGTTGCTATGGGATAATGCGACCAACATTGAAACTATCTTAGTTTATTTTAGTTAGTTCCATACCATAATGTCATAAGGAATGTTACTATGGGATAATGCGACCAACATTGAAACTATCTTAGTTTCGTAACAGAGAGTCATACCAGCAACGTATTATAGCCTAGGTCCTAAGGAATCCGTGCTTTGCCTCTCGGTATATTTACACAAAAACGAAAATAGTTTTCTTTTTTAAATACTGATGTACATTGTGTAAATACTAGGAACACCGATAGAAATACGTACATATATTAACCTTGTCCCTCACTATATTTTCACAAAAACAAAAATAGTTCTTTTTTTAAATACGATGATGTATAATATTCCGTTGTTACTAGGAAAAAGCAAAAGCAATTACTACACACCAAAGAGTCAATAATTCCCTCATGTGGAAATGTACTCGCTTTTTCAACGAATTCCCAGAAAATAGACAGGACCTATTTGCCAAAAACTGAAATTTTTAATTGCTTTTATATAACTTCAGTTTACAAACGCGAAGCATCAAGCTTTCATATCATATAAATTGTGTAATATAATAAATTGAAGCGCATTTAAATAACAGCTTGTTTTTAAAAATGTTATCCTACTTTTAATTAAAAAATTGTTTAAAAATAATTATTATTAAGCAATTTTTTATTAATACGGTTTATAAGTACATACTACTAAATTTACCGTGTTTTTGTTATTGTTTGAATATCCACTACCCCATACTATGTCGTGGGAACGCAGAGGGAAAGTAATCAAGAGATGAGCAGCAGCGTCTTCCTAAAACTACTAAAAATAAAGATAAATTGCGATTGCCAACCGATTGCCAAGCTTGGCAACTATGACAAATATCCCGTCTATGAGGCAATCTGTGGGCAAGGCCTATGTTCAGCAGTGACCTTCAATAGGCAGTTCCACAGAAATACTATTACGATTTCTATGGCTGTTACGGTAACGGTACTACTAAAAAGTACATAGTTAATAATAACCCCTGGTAGTGAAGTGATAGCTATCATACTGTTTCTAAATGTTTTTGTTATTATTATTATTATTGGGGTATCTGTATAGTTTTCTCATCTGGTTGGTTTCTATAAATATATAATTATAAATTAAAATGAAAAGATAAATATACATAAATATCAATAAAATAAAATAAATACAAAAAAATACACAAATAAATAAAGATCCAACCAGATGGAAGCCCTCGGCAGGGGAGACCAAACGGCCGAGGGTTAGGGGGAAAGGGAAAGAAACCGACGGACGATGCGGGCGGTATCGAGGACCACTGCCTTCTGCATTTGAGCCCGGAGCGGTCCGTCACGGAGTCCCAGTCGCCTCAGATGACCCGAGAGGCTGACTGGGATTAGCCCGTTTGCAGAGACGACTACAGGAATAATTTCGGTCGGCAGACCACCCCACATGTCGGTCACCTCGTGAGCCAGGTCCAGATATTTTGTTTGCTTATCTGTTTCGGCTTTCACGAGGTTCTCGTCATACGGAATGGTAATGTCGACCAAAAATATCCTTGACTGTGCCCGGTCCATCAGCACAATATCAGGCTTATTTGCAAGAATAGTCCTGTCTGTGATGATGGCCCGATCCCAGTAGAGCCTGGCGCGGTCATTTTCGAGCACGGCTTCCGGCAAGTACTTGTAATACGGCAATTTCCGGTCCACGAGACCGTATTTCAGAGCGAGCGCCTGGTGTAGAATTCTGGCTACTAGGTTGTGCCTGTGCAAGTACTCAGAGTTAGAAAGCGCCGAACAACCGGAGATGACATGTCTAAGTGACTCCCCGGGATGGCGACAAGCTCGACAGACGTCGACGGTGCCATTCTTTAGGATGTATCTCCGATAGTTGTTGGTCTTAATAACCTGATCCTGTATTGCACAGACAAAACCCTCGGTTTCCCCGAAGAGGTCACCGAAACGTAGCGAGTTGAGGGAGGCGACTGTATCTACGAAGGGCTCATGTAGAACCCTGTAGTACCTCCCGTGGAGCTCCTTCTTCCTTCCATACGGTCTCCCGGTCGGAAATGCTAAGCACTGCTGGGTCCTGCCATTGCTCGTTGGCCAAGGATAGAGGGGTAAGCCCTTTATCGCTAGAAATGACGTCATTATAGAATGGATCATCCGATCTCGCCAGGAAGTAATGACGGAGGCTGCACACTTCACGATTATGCATAGTGAGCGCGCTTAGAAAGCCACGCCCACCATGCTTTCGCGGCAAGTACAGCCTCATTACCGACGATCTCAGATGATGCATCCTATGGGACGTCATGGTAGTGCGGACTTTTCTATCCAGGGCGTTAAGTTCAGTCTGAGTCCACCTGAGCATGCCAAAGGTATACATAAGGACAGGCATGACCCAACCGTTATATGCGTGTGTCTTATTCACACCGGACAAAAGGCTATTAAGCACTTTGGTCAAGCGTGCATAAAACACGTCGCAAACTGACTGTTTCACACCAGCCTCATCGATACCGATGTTCTGTGACATACCCAGGTATCGGTATGTTTCAGCCTCGGAAAGGGTCCTTAAGTTGACGGGCATAGATAAATCTATGCCCTCAGAGTTAGCAACCCTTCCCCTCTCAACATGGAGGACCGCACACTTATCCGTCCCCAGCTCCATTCCAATGGAACTGCTAAACTCACAAGTGATTTTTAGCAATTCCACAAGATGGGAGCGACTGGAGGCGAATAACTTAAGGTCATCCATATAGAAAAGGTGGGTCACTTTTGTCCCTCCTTTCCGTAGCTGAAATCCTCTCCCGGATCCCTCCAGTAAGGTACTGAGAGGGTTCAGGGAGAGGCAGTACCAGATTGGACTCAGACAATCGCCCTGGAAGATACCCCTTCTTATCCTTATGTGGTTCTCCGCAGCCATCATCCGCTCACCCAGATGACAAAGGATCGTACTCCACTGCCCCATACACTGCTCGAGGAAGTCTCTCACTGTACAGTCTATCTTGTACAGCTCGAGGACTCTCTTTAGCCATGTATGGGGCACCGAGTCGAATGCCTTTCTGTAGTCTATCCAGGCGGCGGAGAAGTTCCGACGGTTGCGTTTCACCACTTTGCCAATGACCGCGTCAATGAGGAGTGGTTCCTTAGTTCCACGACCACCGCCCCGACATCATTTTGAGCGCGTGACATCACCTGATTTAGCTCTAGGTGACGAGTGATTCTCGCGCTCAAAATGGATGTCAGTGTCTTATATATGGTGGGTAGACACGTAATGGGGCGGTATTTGCTCGGGTCTGTGGTAACCTGGTCTTTAGGAACCAAATGAGTGATCCCAGTACTGAAGAGGCTAGGGAGCGACTTCTGGTTGAGAGCCTCTTGAAACTGACGGGCGAGCACAGCGTGACACACCATGAACCCCTTCAGCCAGTAGTGATGCAGTCCGTCGAGTCCCGGACTTTTCCAGTTCGGGGCTCTACGGACCGCCTCAGCTACGTCATCCGGCGTTATGATGACGGGGTCCATGGGCGTAATACTCGCACACTGACTCGCCACAACTTCCGTCCAAGGGCCCTCGCTGTGGTTTACGGGCTCTGACCACAGGCCACGCCAAAATGCGACAGTGTTAGCCTGATCCGGTCCTGGGCCCGCTCCACATACCTCTGGTCGCTCCAATGATTTGTAGAGCCTCTTCTGATCACTCTGGAAGAGACGATTCTGGTTGAACCGCCTTGACCTCTCGGTAAATCGGCGAATCCGCTTCCCCCAAGCGGCAATCTTTTGCTTCAGGTCGTCTATGCGCTCCGTTAGTTTCTGCGTGATATCCGGCTGGGACAAACTGATATTTGTCCCAGCAAACGCCATTCTAACGGTGCGCACAACCCTCGGTCTATTATTACCCGACCTGAAGCTTATCAGTCTGCCGATAAGGGCCCTTGCCTTTGCGATACGGTCCTCAATTCTTTTTCTCCAGGCTGGGATGGCGCTACTTTGTTTAGTAGCGCGTCCAGCCATGGGAAGTTTGGCGCCAATAATACGGCAAGCTGCCACTGCGGCGCCAAAAAGAACTGTGTCCGTCTCGCAAAGGTCCCGGCTGGCTTCCAAATAGGTTACCAGCATTGGGTTAAGAGCCCTCACGACAGCCCGATTTCGCTTGCTTAGGGGTATGCGGGGGAAGTCGCGGTCGATTTTCGAGAGGCATGTTGCGCGTTTCTAAAATCGCCTCTTCCAATATACTTCTCATTTGCTCTTATAATAGTGGAGACGAACTGTCCACTATTAACAGACTCCGAGTGGTTTTCTTTAAGGTGGAGAAATGAAACTACTGTTTATGTTTATGAATGTACTGTCGAATGGGATTCGGAATGGAATATCTTTTGCATCAACCTTGCCTATATTTATATGGCTGGCTCACTATTGATTTGCCAATGGTAACAATTAATATTTTGCCTAGCCAATTATATTGCTTATTTTATGACCAATGAAAACTATTTAAAATATACAATTATCTACGTTTCGTTTCCCGGCGTGAGACTTGTTTGTTGTTCACGAAGCTACGTCGCTGGACCGGGCTATATAAGACATGCAGATCGGTGCGCACGCGTAGTCGGCGGGCGGCGGCGGTGTGGAATACAGCTCCGGAACAGCAAGAGGAAACGAACTGCGGCGTTGAAGAAACGGCTCACCATTGGTCGACGGATACGTGACGATAGCGGCGTGTGAAGTCGGTGTGGCGCTGAATGATATTTGCGGCTGCTTCTTGTTTCTTTATAAGAACGTCAAATTATCTATATACAGTCCGCAGTATCTCAGTAGCCAAGAATAATTAGGAAATAAAATGTTTTTTTATTTATTCTCGCCTTCCGCGTTATGGTAGCAGCGGAGTAAATATTATTTATTCCCGTTTCGGTTTGATTAATCTGGCTGCTACATCACTCTCCCCCCAGCGAAAGCGTACCGGAGGCTTGACGACTCGCCCGTATTTCGTAGTTTTTAAAATAGATTTCAACTGGGTTGATGTAGATGATGAAGTTTCAAGCTTCCTCGCTGGTGGTTTTGATGATGATGATGAATCCTCTGCAGTATCCTCGTTAATAATATAGGCTGGCTTTAGTCGGTCGATCGATATAATCGTAGATTTCCTTCCGGGTATTTGTAGTTTAAAAGTCTTGCTATTTCTCTCTAATACTTTATACGGTCCATCGTAGGTAGGTTGAAATTGTTTTTTTCATTGCGTCGTTTCTTACAAAAACTTGTTTGCATGTTTTCAAATCTTGGTGAATGAATACTGATTTATTATTTCTGTGTGATTGCATTTCGGTGCATTTCAACGATAAGGCTTTGTTAATTGACTCTCGAAGTTTAGTTACGAAATCGTAATCCATTTCTTGTTTGTTTGACGCTGCTGAACTGAAGAAGTCACACGGCAGCCTTATGCTGCAGCCGTAGGTTAGCTGAGCGGCGCTAAGACTAGTGTCTGCACGCGGTGTTGCTCGTAGTCCGAGTAGCACTGTAGGTAGCTCATCAATCCACTTTGTATGTTGAGATAAACGAGTTTTGAGTGCAGTCTTTAATGTACGATGCCATCGTTCGATTATTCCGTTTGACTGAGGATGGTATGCTGTTGTACGCGTCTTCTGTATTCCCATAGTTTGAAGAAGTTTGAGGAATAGGTTGCTTTCGAAATTCCTTCCTTGATCCGTTGTGATGGTTTTAGGTGATCCGAAACGAGTAATCCAATTATCATAAATTATCTTCGCGACGGATTCAGCTGAAGTATCATCGGTAGGTATTGCTTCTGGCCATCTTGTTGTTCTGTCGATCATTGTTACGAGATAACGATGTCCTTGCGGTGAAGTAGGTAATGGTCCAACGATGTCAACGTGCAAGTGTTCGAATCTCTCCGTGGGTGGAAATGTAGCTAGACTACTTGATGTATGCCTTTGTACTTTGCATTTTTGGCATTGAATGCATTGCTTCGCCCAGTTGCCAACATCCGCTTGCATTGCAGGCCAAAAGAATTTTTCAGTGATGAGTTTTCTTGTTGTTCTAACACCTGGATGACTAATGTTGTGCAGTGCATTGAAGACTTCGCGACGACATTCTTCTGGTATGTATGGTCGCATGGTTGTCGTTGAGGCTTCACAGTATATAGGTAGATGCGTCATTGGCATTGTAGCTTGCTTGATGGACAAGTTACCTTGCTTCGCTAGATGTTTTATGTTGTCACTATCTCTGTCTTGTGCTGCGGCGATCTTATGATAGTCGATTGATGTAGGGCACGTTACACTGTCGATTGGTACGCGACTGAGTGCGTCGGCAACTATGTTGTCCTTTCCACTGATGTGACGTATGTCGGTCGTGAATTCACTTATGAAAATAAGTTGTCTTGCTCTTCGTGGTGATTCTGATAGTGATGGTTTCTTTGGAAGTACATATGTTAATGGCTTGTGGTCGGTAAAAACGATCAGGTTTCGACCCTCGAACGTTTTTCTGAAGTGCTTGATAGCCATGTAAATAGCGAGTAGCTCTCGGTCGAATGTACTGTAGTTACGTTGAGTATCGGAGAACTTCTTCGAAAAATATCCAAGTGGTTGCCATTTCCCATTGCTGTATTGTTGGAGAACTGCTCCTGCTGAGAGATCGGATGCGTCGCTGAAGATAGCAAGGGTTGCTTCGTGTGATGGGTGAGCGAGTAAAGCTGCATTTTGGATCGCAATTTTACAAGCTTTAAATGCCTTCGTGGCTTCATCGTTCCATTCGATTGACGTTTTATCTTTTTTCTTCGTGTTGTGAAGGTAGGCGTGAAGTGGTGCTTGGATTTCAGCGGCTTTAGGTATGTGTTCTCTGTAAAATTTTATCATCCCATGAAAACGCCTTAGCTCTTCGATAGTTTTAGGTTTTGCATAATCGATGATTGCTCTGACTTTTTCGGCAGGCGGTTTTATTCCTTCCTTGCTGACGGTGAAACCAAGAAATTGAACTTCTTGCTGTCCAAATATGCATTTCGAAGGGTTGATTGTGATTCCGTTGTCTTCTAATCGCTGTAGCACGGTGCGTAGATGGGTTTCGTGCGTTTCTTTATCAGGGCTTGCAACAAGGAGATCATCAATAAATGCGAAAACGAAATCCAGTCCATGAAGTACTTCGTGTATGAATCTTTGGAAAGTTTGACCTCCGTTCTTTAATCCTGGGATCATTCTTGGGAATTCGAATAATCCCATTGGGGTAATTATTGCTGTCTTCTCTATGTCTTCATCGCGGACTCTTATTTGTTGGTAAGCTCGGTTGAGATCGATGGTGGAGAATATAGTCTTGTCTGATAGTTGATGAGTGAAATCCCTGACTCGCGGTATTGGGTATCGGTCAGGAGTGGTAATAGAATTCAGTCTTTTGTAATCTCCACAAACTCGTAATTCTCCGTTCTTCTTCGGTACAATGTGAAGTGGTGATGACCAAGGGCTTTTGCTTGGACGGCATATTCCTTGCTCAATCATGTTTTCGAATTCCTTTCGAACTTGCTCGTATAGGTGTGGTGCGATTGGACGTGCACGACAATGAAGTGGTGGTCCATTGGTGTCGATGAAATGCTCAACGTCGTTCTTCGGTGTTAATTTCATTGAAGTTATTCTTGTGATACCAGGGTATTCTTCGAGGATCTTGTGATACGGTTGTTGCACATCTATGCTTCTTATTGTGATCAGATTGGTTGCTTGTACAAAAGACTGAGATGCAAGATTGGTTTTCCCGTCGATGATTCTTCTATTTTTGATGTCGACGACCAACTGGTGATGTTGAAGAAAATCAGCACCGATGATTGGTTTGCTGACTTTAGCGACGATAAATCTCCATTTGAATGGTCGGCGTAGATTAAAATCAAGTTCCATTGTTTTTTCTCCATATGTAGGAATAACCGTATTGTTTGCTGCATAGAGTTGAAAATCTAGTGGCTTCAACTTCTGTCCTTGCTTCGGCGGTAACACTGAGATATTTGCTCCGGTGTCGATAAGGAAAGTGAGCTTGCTTTTTTTATCGGTGACGAAAAGACGGTAGGACTTTGCTGTTACGCTGGATCCCGTCGCATCGAGCGTACTAGTTAGTTTTCCGTATTCGTATTTTCATTTTTGAATGTACACGGTGCTGTGCATTTTCTTGCCTCGACCCCGAAACGTCGATGATAGTAGCAGTAAGGGGATCTTGATGTTGAGCTTATTCGACTTCTACTTGCAGAGCGGTTGCGACGAAAAGGTGATCTTCGGTGTTGCTGATTGCGCTGGTTGTACTGTTGCTGGTAAAAGGTATGATGCTGGGAAGCTTTGAGCGCGACGACTTCGAATGATAGCTTCCGAATTTCTTCGAGAAGAAACTGGGTATCATTGGCCTTTGTTGAAGTGCCTTCGATGATCGATATGTGTGAGCTACTGCTGTTTTCGATCATCTTGTCCGCCAGGAGTGCCAGTTCGTCGAGCTTCGTCTGCGTGCTGAATGTTTCGCTGACTGCTATTACCGATCGAATATGTGGTGGTAGGTGGTTTACCCACATTAGCCGTAGTGTTGAATCCGGAACTTTATCTCGCGCCAAAGTACGCATTTTGCGTAGGAGTTGTGTGGGTTTCTGGTCTCCAAGTTCTATTTCTGATAGAAGTTTTTGTAGCTGTCGACTGTCGGATTCTTCATATGCGGAGATCAGACGATCCTTCAGTGAATTATACTGGTCGACTGCTGGTGGGTTGTACAACAGGTCCGCAATTTGTTCGATGTCTTGTTTCTCAAGTTGGGCTATCACCATCTGTGCTAATTGCGCTTGGCTCTTCTTTAAACCATTCGTTGCGGCTTCAAAACTGACGAACCAAAGTCGTGGTTTGTCTCTCCAAAACGGTGGTATTCTTAACGATAGAGATATACCGGCGATTTCTGGTTCCTTTACCGGGTTTGATGTATATGTGTTTGCCTCCTGCTCCATAATGACGGCTTGATTACACTGATTTTATATAAACTGAAGTCTTCCTTCTCGGTGTTCGTACTTTAGTAGTGGTACGTCGCAGGGTGTTCCTTCTTGGTGTTCGTACCGGATCTTCCCCCCTCGGTGTTCGTACGGGGTCACCACTATAATAGTGGAG